AATGGCTTTCTGCCCTCTAACCTTTACTACTGTACATTCGGGTGGCTCACAGAAGGGCGGCGCCGCAGCCGCGCGCACGGACTCAACTCAACTGCGCACACACATTTTATCGGCGCTTGTGCATCATCTGCGCACACACTTATTAACTCAGCGTGCGCACACCCCATCATGGGGAGTCAAGTGCGCACACAGGCCCTTTCCCGAATGTTGCTGCGTATTCCAAATTGTACCCTGCGTTGCTCACTTAAAAGGGTAGTCAACTTGGAATAGCCACTTCCTTGTCTATTTTTTACTCTCCAGTGGCTCACCAAGGGGTGAGTCAACTTGGAATGAGCACTTCCTTCTCTAAATTTTACCCCTGCATTGCCCACAAAGGGTGAGTCAAGTTGAAATGGCAACATCCTTCTCTAAATTTTACCCTCGGGTGGCTCACCAAAGGGTGAGTCAACTTGGAAGGGAAACATCCTTCTCTAAATTTTGTCCCCTGCATGGCCCACAAAAGGGTGAGTCAGTTGAAATGGCAACATCCTTCTCTAAATTTTACCCCTGCATGGCCCACAAAAGGGTGAGTCAACTTGGCATGGCCACTTCCCTCTCTAAATTTTACCCTCCAGTGGCTCACCAAAGGGTGAGTCAACTTGGAATGACCTCTTCCTTTTCTAAATTTTACCCTGCCCACAAAAGGGTGAGTCAAGTTGAAATGGCAACTTCTTGTCTAAATTTTACCCTTGGGTGGCTCACCAAAGGGTGAGTCAACTTGGAAGAGCAACACATCCTTCTCTAAATTTTACCCCTGCATGGCCCACAAAAGGGTGAGTCAAGTTGAAATGGCAACATCCTTCTCTAATTTTAAGCCTCGGGTGGCTCACCAAAGGGTGAGTCAACTTGGAAGGGCCACATCCTTCTCTAAATTTTACCCCTGCATGGCCCACAAAAGGGTGAGTCAAGTTGAAATGGCAACATCCTTCTCTAAATTTTACCCCTGCATGGCCAAGAAAAGGGTGAGTCAACTTGGCATGGCCGCTTCCCTCTCTAAATTTTACCCCTGCATTGGCCACAAAAGGGTGAGTCAAGTTGGAGTGACCACTTCCTTCTCAAAATTTTACCGTGCACAAAAGGGTGAGTCAAGTTGAAATTGCAACATCCTTCTCCAAATTTTTAGCCTCGGGTGGCGCAACAAAGGTTGAGTCAACTTGCAGCTTTCCTGGCCACTGCAGGCAGCACAGGTCCGTAAGCTGGCCACCTGCAGCAGCACAGTGCTCACAACACTCTGGTCACCTCCAGCAGCACAGTGCTGACGACACTGGCCACTGCAGGCAGCACAGCTCCGTAAGCTGGACATCCAAAGGCCTCGACATCCAGACAGATCTGGAGTGTAGAGGTGTAGAGTCTAGAGACCCACAAAATCTTGCAGAGGTTCAGATCCAGAGACCAGGGGAACAGAGGACCAAAGGACCGGGCCTTACGGTCGCCTCACCTCTTCAAAATTTTACTGGCGTGCTAGAATGGAATGGCTTTCTGCGCTCTAAACTTTACTACTGTACATTCGGGTGGCTCACAGAAGGGCGGCGCCGCATATTTTATCAGCGCTTGTGCCTCATCTGCGCACACACTTGTTGACTCAGCGTGCACACACCCCATCGGGGGGAATCAAGTGCGCACACAGGCCCTTTCCCGAATGAATGTTGCTGCGTATTCCAAATTTCACCCCTGCATTGCTCACTTAAAAGGGTAGTCAACTTGGAATGGCCACTTCCTTCTCTATTTTTCCCTCCAAGTGGCTCACCATGGGGTGAGTCAACTTGGAATGAGCACTTCCTTCTCTAAAATTTACCCCTGCGTTGCCCACAAAAGGGTGAGTCAAGTTGAAATGGCAACATTCTTCTCTAAACTTTACCCTCGGGTGGCTCACCAAAGGGTGAGTCAACTTGGAAGGGCAACATTCTTCTCTAAACTTTTCCCCCTGCATGGCCCAAAAAAGGGTGAGTCAAGTTGAAGTGGCAACATCTTTCTCTAAATTTTACCCCTGCATGGCCCACAAAAGGGTGAGTCAACTTGGCATGGCCACTTCCCTCTCTAAATTTTGAACCCTCCAGTGGCTCACCAAAGGGTGAATCAACTTGGAATGACCACTTCCTTTTCCAAATTTTACCCTGCCCACAAAAGGGTGAGTCAAGTTGAAATGGCAACTTCTTTTCACAATTTTACCCTCGGGTGGCTCACCAAAGGGTGAGTCAACTTGGAAGGGCCACATCCTTCTCTAAATTTTACCCCCGCATGGCCCACAAAAGGGTGAGTCAAGTTGAAATGGCAACATCCTTCTCTAAATTTTACCCCTGCGTGGCCCACAAAAGGGTGGGTCAACTCGGCATGGCCGCTTCCCTCTCTAAATTAAACCCCTGCATTGGCCACAAAAGGATGAGTCAAGTTGGAGTGACCACTTCCTTCTCAAAATTTTACCCTGTGCGCAAAAGGGTGAGTCAAGTTGAAATGGCAACATCCTTCTCCAAATTTTACCCTGGGGTGGCGCAACAAAGGGTGAGTCAACTTGCAGCTTTCCTGGCCACTGCAGGCAGCACAGGTCCGTAAGCTGGCTCGCTGAGTAGCTGGCTAAATGGGGGATAGAACAGGAGTTCAAAAGTGGTCCTTGTTGTTGTGTGTGTTTTTCGGGAGATGCATCAAAAAATGCATTAACATACAGTAGAATACATGACAACACTTGCCATTGCAGGCAGCACAGCTCCGCAAGCTGGCCACCTACAAAAGCCATCGAAAACCAAAGGCAAAAGCCACCAAAACCCAAGAGCCACCGAAAGCGAACCTTCCTTCCTGCCCTGCTGCCTTTCTTCCTTCCATCCATCCTTCCTTGCTTCCTTGCTTCCTTCCTTCCTTCCTTCCTTGCTTCCTTCCTTCCTTCCTTCCTTCCGTCCTGGCTTCGTACCTTCCTTCCTTGCCTTCTTGCCTTTGTTTGTTTCTTTTCTTTATTTTTTTATTGATGCATGTTTTTTTTGATGCATTTATATTTTTTATTGATGCATGTACTGTATATTTCTTTTTTGATGCGTCTCCCCCAAGGGAGCGACAGTGAAAACTCAGCACCTCAGAAATGTACAGTAGAGTTTAACAAAGCAGTTCAAAATCCCTTAGGTCTTGTATGACGTGTCAGCTCACCGCCTTCCGGCCCAGCTCGTCCATCTCCTGCACCCAAGGGCGGCTCCATCTGAGTTGAAGGGCTTCCTCAGTTCACTGTGGTCATGCAGTACATGTAGGAAAATCTGTTTCCATGTTATGGCTCCAAAACTTGCCACTTGGGCCAACCGGCCTCTGCTTCGGTTCTTGCTTCTTTCATGATGAGCTGTGCTCTTGCAAAGTCTGAAGCTTTCTCGTGAAATATTCGCTGCGCTTCCTCACACCTCAGTGTCAAAAAACGATTTGCTCCTAGAGCATGTTTCTTCTCCCCGACCGTCGCAAGTGTGGGAAAATTCCAGACAAACAGGCTGTGACACTTCACTGTAGCAACGACGAGGGTCGTAGTTATAGCAGGGGCAAAAAACAGTTTGTTTTGACCTTGAAATGTTTATCAACCTCGCGGGACTGAAAGGTTATTGGACCCTCGCATGAATTAATTTACATGCAACTCCCTGAGGGTTGTTGGCCAAAATTACACCAGCATCGACCCCAAACAGCATTTGTTCAGTTGGTTTGATTTCAGCCATGCAGCAAATATATATATATATATATTATTATATATGTATGTACACATATGACCATATGTGTTCAGGAACATGACGCCGCATTTCCAATGTCACAACTCTGGCTTGTCAAAAGCACACCACTGTCTATACAACTGTGCAGTTCGAGATTACAAGCGCGCATTCTCATGAACATGACGAGGTGCTTCCAAAGACGCAGCCCAGCGTGTTGCGCGCTGTCAGAAATGCAACTGCACGTTTTAGGCATACGGGCCTGCGTGTTCAGAAGCACGCTGGCCTTACCACGGGCATCAACGTGTTCATCCACAAGCATGCCGCTGCGTTGCAGAGATTCATCTGTGTATGTTGTGAAATACAATTGCCCCCTCTCAGAAACATGACGTTGCACGTCCATGCCTTTGTACTTTCAAACATGCATCTGCGCATTTCCCTTGGTACACGCGTTTCCTTTCAGAAACAGGACCTTGCATCTCCAAAGTCAAAACTCCACCTTTCCAAAGGCATTTGGAAAATCATCTGTGCATTTCGAGCCGTACAAGCGCACGTTTTCAGAAAAATGTCGTTGCCTCTTGCGACCCTCCAGTGATAATGGCTTCACTGGAAAGAAGTCAGGAAATCTGACCCACAGGTTGCCAGTCGGGAGACAATGGGGAGACAAAGCGAAAATCATCTCGTGACGGGGTGTATTCCTTGAAAACCTATAACGCCAACAACGGGCTGAAATAGAACATTCCATTGTCAACTGGTGAACCGATGTTCATGCGAAATGACTCCCGACCTCATGGTGCACGTGCGAGGCGCATCGCAGTCAAATTCAGTCTATTAAGCTCTTCCCGCTGGTCTTTGTGTGTCTCCACCTCCTTTGCTTCCTGGGCTTGGCGAGCCATCTCCACAGCCTTTACCACTTGCCCTTAGGCAACTCACGAAGCACTGGGCAACGGCATGTAAAAACATATGACAAACAAATGTGTGGAAACAACGCAGAATTGAATCAAAGGTGATTATTCTGCGCAACAGACTGCCAAGGCACACTGCATTTTCTCCAAGCGGTCTTCGAGGTGCTGAATTACTTCTTTCATTGATTGCTGAACGCCAGTCAGCTCAACCATCATTGCTTGAACTTCACCATAACGTTCCAGCGACTCTGCCCTGAGCTTCCAAAGAGGAGAACCATGAAACATCCAGCTGTGCATTGTGAATGCTTGGAAGATTGGATCGGGCCTGTTGCTTCGAATGCGTGCTTCAATGTGACGAAGGTCATCATCACATAGTCCCCGGCCCTCCACCGCACAGAGTGCAAAGGAAAATCAAACAATGCCATCCGCACTCAGCGAGACCAGCCTTCATGTTCCATCCAGCATCAAGTGCAGCAGCCGGCTAAGGTTCAGCTCTCTGCTTTGTCAAATCATATCTGTCATCTTGGAATGGAGACGATCACCTCCTTCCAAACCGTGTAAAATCTCGTATGTGCTTGATTCTGCGGCTTCTCCTACTTCCGACGCAAGAGTGAACGTGGTTATATACGTGCATATATATATATATGTGATATATATATATATGTGTGTGTATTGAATTGTATTGATATGAATATACAAATATATACACGCAAACCAATGAATGCCGCGCCGTTTCTTCCATAGAGCCTGAAGGCTGTACTCACACGTTTCGAGCACTGTGACCGATCAGGAGCATGGGAATGCCAACCTATTCTTGAGGGGTGGGGCAAAGTGCCGGCAATCATTTATCCTCACAATAATCAACTTGTCCGTCTGTCCTTTTCCCTTACACCAATCCTTTCCGGCAAGGACACCTCAAAATCTCATAGTAGGGGTAATACCCTCCGATACTTTGCGAGCAACGGTCTCACAGGCACAAAACATACCGTCAGAGAAAGGCTTGCCTCAAAACTTGAGATCAAGAAAACCACTGGTGGAGTGCTCGTGCGGGTTACCTTAAGTCATCCTGTTGAGGCAGAAGCCATCGATTCCCATGCCTGCAACATCGCAGTTGTAGCAAGACCTGAGGCCGACTGTTTCCAAAGGTTCTTGCTATCACTTGCTCTTGACGGACTTGAAACTTGACCCTATGCACTTTGATTAGGATATGCCAAGCACTTTTGAGACTCACTGCCTGCCGGTCTACATGAAAAACGGTCTCGCTTCCCACGTCGTTGCCGGACCGCCAAACGTTTCTGCCACATCCTATCTAGTCTGCTTTGGTACCAGGCTTCATGATGCTCGCAGTACCTGGAAGCTATGTCTTTGTGCTGTCGACACCTCCAACCAGACCCATTGGCGAAACTACATCGCTCCGCATCTGGAACCTGTACAGGGCCTGGTGCACTTGGTGCTCTTTGCCGGCTCCGTTTCCGCTTGGAATTTGAGTGTTGTTTGCAGCGGGCACCAGGTCCAGAATCACCTGCTGAGACATGAATAGGTCGGGATACACAGCCTGGAATGTTGCAAACTTTCCCTCCATGGAGCCAACAAGCACGACCTGCTGGTCCAAGGCTATCGGCCTCAGCTTTTCCCCAGCAAATCCTTCGGCAGCCTGGTACCCGGCAACTACTCCCATGGACAGCACAGCGACGACCAGCTTTTCCAAACTCATCTCCTTTTCGCAACCGTGTGCCAACTCGATGGCAGCCTGGCACGGAGCAAAGAGAGTTTGATAAATGCAAAGTACAACGCATCCCGGCAGCCCCAAAGCTATCTTTATCAGATTTGAAACGTGCAAAACGTGAGCAGCCAGGAACATTGCAACGTCTTGCACCATGTGCGCAGCATCGGTGCCCTGCCAGTCCATAGGCGTCTTTCTGGTGAACCCTTGCCACTTTTGCTCGTGTGCAGCCAGGCACATTGCACATCGGCTTGGCACTGTGCATTTTGCAACGCCATCCAATGTCACCATGCGCATCATTCTTGAGTATCCATCGACGGCACTTCCTGAAACAGCCTGGCACTGAGCACATCTGCGGCGTCGCCTTTGAGCCCTTCGGGCTCTTGGGGCTTGGAGCTCGAGCTCGGTTCAAGCCAGCGTCTACCAAATGAAGCATCCTCTGCCACAGCTCCTTCATCTTCCGACTGCCCTGAAGAAGAGGAGAAATTTTGCGGCAAAACAACAATGCCAATTTGATGCTTTTTTGGACGTGTGTTTTCCTGATGTCAATAGCCAACAGGCAAATGAGGCAGGTGTCCAAGAGTTGTACAAGTTTTGGCTCTGCATCGACTGCAAACGTTGCGTCAACCAAAGAGGGTAACTTGTCAAATTGCTCTGACCACGCCAGGCAATCCAAAATGACCTGCACCCCTGCAACACATGAACAAAAAATGTCGCAAAGCAAACTTCCGTTCCCATATCCTTTGGCGCAATTGGCTGCATCTTTCAAGTCTTTGAGGCAGTCCACATGTGTCACCTGTTTTATCTGCTTTTGCCATGCGTCAGCCGCCAACATCATGGCAGGACATGGTGGCAGTGGCGGTGGAAAGTTTGCAAATTGAGGCACATGTCCATGATGTCCTTCGTGTTCCTCCTGTCCCGCTGGAATGATGCGAACCAACTTTGCCCGTGCTTCACCTGCTGCTTCATTGGAGGATGGCTGCTGGGCAGCTTGGAACTGGACAATGGCTTCATGACAGTTTGGCAAGCCGAGCCCCCTGAGCAAGCTCATGGGAATCTGGGAGGTCGGAATTATATAGAACTCACCCGTCGCATCCAGTTTCTGTACTCTCAATCCATGTGGCAGCACGTCCCGCACTCTTCCCATCCACCGTTGCATGGGCCAAAACAGCTTGCAACGAATGTACATGGAAAGCTTGCACAGCAACCTTTCTACACTTACACATGGACCGGGACAGGCCGGACAGGCAGGGTAGCAGCGAGTAGCACGAGGCAAAAAATGTATGCAGGTTGGCTGTGCTGTCTGCGTCCTCTTGTCTGTGTTGAAGTTTGTGTATATCATATCAACATCAAGGACTGGGGGCGTTACAAAAGCACAAGTTTAACTGTGTAAACAGGCAACTAGCCTACATGTACCGCAAAGGCACACCTGTTTTGTTCTTGAGCCAAAGGAGACGATTTAGGTCATGTATATACACTACAAGCGTGAAACAACACCCCCCGCTGAGCGCAAATACGGAGGAGTGAAGTATGTACAATGTGCATGAATTCGACCAGCTACGAAAGGCAACCGGCCCCCCGGTACGAGCAATCGATCGGAGCGCGCCTAAGAGATAAAGCTGGTGAAGCAAGACCTCAGAGGCAACGGAGTCAGGCACAATGTACTCAAGTTTCGCTTGTTGCTCGTGACAAATGTCTCAGCTCACATGCAAGAGTTAGCACTCTATTTTGGGCGCTGTGCGAAAAGCTCAGCATATGTTTATCATTGAGAAAGGAGAAGTGGAACCCTTACATGGCTCACGCTCCCGCGCGGCGAACAAGCAAAGCTATCAAGGTGATGAGAAGGAATTTTATCCAAAATCATCATTAATTCATGCAACCTCAAACTGTGATCAGCTTCTCTGCAGGATGAACGGTGACCATAAGGCAGCCGCTGCCGCGGTGCGATGAGATGTCTCCACAAGGAATTGGAGCTTTGATGCCGTTGGTATTTTGTTTGGTTTTAGTTTTGTCCAAGGCAACGGCTCCCGCCGCGCGAAGACCTCTCACCAGTTCCGGTGCTGATACCAGTCACGGTCTGCCCAGCCACCGCAGCCCCAATCAGAGTCATGCCAAGAGCGGTCGTCCGATTGCCACCGGCCACTCGACCACCAACTCTGAGATGAAGAAGGCCGGTCATATGAGCTGCGTCCGCGGTCCTCCCAGTGAGCTTCGTATTGACGAGCACGATGCTGGGACTGCCTCTGCGCAAAGCTTTTGGCAGCCGCTGATCCTGCCTTTGATTGTGGCACAACCATAGCCCGCTCTTCTTTTCCAAGGGTCAGAGCATTACCCGGGATGCGCTCATAGTCCTCTGCCATGAAGACAAGTAAGTCATCGAGGATTTCCTGTGGATCTTCGAGATCGGACTGCCAATCACCACCAAAGCCACAGATGGGTGGCCGTTTGAAGTTCTCAGCATATAGCGTTGCAAAGACTTCCGGACGATGGAAACGGTTCCGCCAATAGACGAAGAATTCCTGAGAAAGGTCGGACTCACCAATGATGCTGGTCTGCGATGTACACGATCTTTCCAGCGTACTTGTGTCCTTCACCCTTCATAATCATTTCGCGCGTCCTGGGTGGGTCAGGCACGACAGCATTGGCGAGTTTGTCGGTGAAGCCCAAGCACAGTGGCATAAGGTCTTGTGCCGCGCAGTTGAATGCATAAAATGGGTCGACAAGCTGCCGTTGCACCACAGTGACTGACATGCGCTCTGCTTTCTTGACGTGACTCCTGGTGTTCTTCAAAATCGTAAGACCTGATCGCGAAGCACGAATTGTTTCCTGCCCAGGCGTAGCCTTTCTCCAGATACTCTGAGCTCATCGTCAGGCACCATGTCAAGTGACACATCGATTCCGAGATTCGTTGCGATTTCCTCACCTGCGTTGCTTTGCCGAGGTCAGACGACAAGTGGAGATATGCTCCGCAGTTGATGCACCCCATCATGCCAAATGTGTACAAGTGTTTGCACCATTGACACTGGCGTTCAGGCATGATCCGTTGTTCAACAAGAGCCCATAGGGTTTTTCCCAGTCCTTCGTTGTGAGGGTCAAAGGATCGAGTATTGAAGCGATGGTAGTCCTCATAATCTTGCATGATCATTGGGCTCATTCGGTTCCATGGTGCATTGCCGAATGGTTTCCGGGCGATGTGCGAATGAATCAACACATCAAGATCAGGGTTGTTGGGACCCGTACGCATCTGATCCTTGACGCCCTCCATGGCACTGAGTCATCATAGTAGTATGGCCTATCGGTTTTGATGAAGCCACACCACCTTCCGTAGTCCGACAGGAGGTTCGTCACCAACGTGAAAAAGTTGGAGTTCTGAAGCTCATCATCACCGGCAAGCGGCCCCGCTGCAATCCTTTCGAAACCTCGAAACTCGATCATTGTAGCGGGATCTCTCGTCTGCATAGATGTGATTGGCATGGAAAAAAGAGCTGGACGACATGTCAAAGCCATAGATGATGAACTGATTCGGAATCCAGTCGGCACACAAGATTGCCCCGGCCGTTGTCTCTACCATACGAAGTCCTTCTGCAATCATCAACCTTAGATCCAGTGCGAAGCAGAGCGGTCTTGTCGCGGCCATGGAAGCGAATTGGGTGTTCGAGATTGACCATGGGTCATCCATCTTGTTTGCAGATTTCAGTCCACCCGGCAAAAACTCCCATGTTGATGAT